GAGCGAGAGCAGAGAGCGGAGAGAGAGAGCGAGAGAGAGAGAGAGAGAGAGAGAGAGAGAGAGAGAGAGAGAGAGAGAGAGAGAGGAGAGAGAGAGAGAGAGAGAGAGAGAATGAATGAATGAATGATGCTCAAGTGCGGGGCGGGGGGTGAATTAACCACAAAGTTCGATTTACTGCTAACTGTACAAACGAAATTGTTCCAGATACCTCATCAATTTCCTGCTTCCACAAAGGAGAACTCTTCCACACGTGCACAACGGTATCCTTGGCCACCTCTACCCCGTTGTCAAATACTTCCTGCCATACCAGATACCTGTGTGCATTAGCAGATGTGTCTTTGGTCAGTGAAACAAAATATAGTGACATATGATCTACAAGTTTAGTAAACTGAAATAAATCTATCTATAAATAAAAATCCAACGTACTCGTACTATTAAAATTCTTATTATTCAATATCGGTATATTCGATTGAAACATCTATAATGTTTCACAAATCAGTTACGCATATAATCGTGTTTCTTAAGTACTTCCATTGTATTGATACGTTTCCTTACAGACTCACCCGTTCTTCGTAGGAAGATTAGCGACGATATCTAGTAGTTTAGTTATGTAAATTTCCTCGAGCTTGCTGTAGTTGCCTGTGATGTTGTGTTCGGCCATGAACTGAGTGATGGCGGGGTTGCTCTCCCTGTTTGAGGACGTGTCAGACAGATTATACTAGTTTAGGGGAAACATTACCAATTAAAATTAATTGGATATAACAGTGGCAGGTATTCCCACAAAGATAATCTAATTCTTCAAAGACAAATCACAATGTTTATAAAACCAATTACATGAAACATTAAATTACAACTATTTTCAGGGCAATTATAGAACCAATTAGAGAAAATCTACCCGCTCTTCGCAACCCAACAACAAGAACCCTTCTAGTGCATCAATAAGCGGAACTCAAATATACTAGCAGAAAACAACATCTATTTTTTGTGATATGTCGACTATTCTTACAGCCATGACGAAAAAGTTTCAGCAAGAGTACGAGTGCATCCCCGGTTGGGACGAAGGCACCCTCCCTGACTAGTGTCCTAAAGAAGCATCACCAGAAAAGGGGAAATCTGAATGCTCGAGAAACTAACCACTCCTCACCGTCATTCGAATTACTAGACTTCAGAATGTCTCCCTGCTAAAGTCCTCACACACGCACCAGTAAAACACATTTAAATACCACACATGAGAAAATTTCACTGATTTCCACTCAAAAAGAACGCACCAGCAGAAACTGAAAATCTCTTCAGTTGCATTAAAACTACCAGCAACGAGTGACCGCGATAGCTATTTAGGATACGACCTGGAACCCCTCAAATTCAAAGGAAAATGAAAATCTTCCCTTAAATAGACCTAAGAGAAAAACAATTCACACGAGCAAGCCTCATGATCCCCACCAACAAAACCTGAAGTATGCGCCACCAGCAGAAATTTCTAAGCGGTCTTCACCCACACGCGAAGCCCAACTTCGAAATGGAGCTCTAAAGAGAATACCAGCAGGAGAAGCTGACCTCGTCGCCGCCCAGATGAACATAATGGTCCGGGAAGCGGTGCGTGACCTCGGTGAAGAAGCTCTGCAGAACTTGTAGTTGGCGTCGTTCGTTGGGGGTCGATCGGGCCGAACGGTGCCATCCGGGGTGGAGTTACTGTCCACACGAACGTACATTAAACAAGTAAACAAACACGCACACGAACGGTAAGCAATTCCCCTTTTTCCGCTACTCTGGACTAACAAGACATAAAGTCAGGGATTAATGTATTTTTTTCGGCAATTATGTTATGTGAGGGAGAGAGAAGAAAGGAGGAAAGAGATAGGGATATGATGTGCCAATGATTTCTGACTGCAAATTTAATTTCACAAATGAATATGGACGAGCATATTAAAATTTTCTCTGAAGTGTTTTCTCAAGTTTCTGGGCACAAGACCAAAACCAAAAACAGTTCTGAATAGGTTATTCAACATGCCCAATATTGAATTCTTAGTATTTAAGCCATATACAATGGACCAAATTACCATACTATCTATACATTATTTTCTAACCTAGAAAGGGAACAAGACAGATTCATGCAGATATAAACGGGCAAATCAATAAAAAGCAAAACAGACAGAAACTAACGTGTAGCATTTTGTGAGCCAGCCCCGGTTGCCCAGGTCCCCAGGATTTGGTGTGACCTGTAGATCAAGAAGAGAAAAAATACTTTAGGGATGAACATCATGATGTATATAATACTTACGATGTTTCTCATGCAATAAGTTGTGAAATATGAGATTTATAATAACATCATGTTCCTACGTACAGGTTAATACGCCTTATAGTTGCATTGATTTCCTGCCATTGTCTATCATATACAAACACAAATAAACACATAAATACGTGCGAACACACACGTGCTAGAAGGCACAGTAAACGCGTGAGATGCAAGAAAATGCGATTGACTCCTGCTTCATAGGCCTATGGGAAACAGCAATTATGCAGAGCAGTGTGACGCCTGCATTACTGCTCTTTTCATAATTGCTGTCGCCACAGGCCTGTCAAGAGTGTAAAAAAGTGGTGTTAAAGTGTCAGAAATTACAGGGAAATCTCTGGATATCTAGTCCTGGAGATACGACAAGAAGAGCAATAGCGATTGAGATGCGCCAAGAGGGATCATAGCGAGGACAGAGAGCCATATTTGAAACCATACTTGAATAATCCACGTAGATAAATACCACGTGGTTGGTTACGGACAGTATCTGGCGCCTGTCTCAGGTCAAGTATCGATACTGAAGCCACTGAGTTTACTTGATCACCCATTATAGGGGCCTATTTCTCATTATAGGCCCTTAGTAGTATCCTTACGGATACTTTAGGGAAACTGACCTTGCACCACCCGAAATACCGGGTGTCAGGAGTTAAACTACTTAAAAAGACTTAATGTCAGTGTTAGAAATGTCGAAAATGAGTGAAAAGTCTTGATGAGCAGCGTTTTAGAGATGCGAGAGTTACCGAGACACAACCACCGCAGAGCCACCTGGAAAATGGAACATGCGTTTGCTTTTCGGAACTGTTAGAAAGAAATTGAAAAATCGTGCCGAACTAAACCAAAACGTCTCTCCACTTACCTGGAGTGTCGAACTCGGCAGGACACGGATGCCCCTCAACCTGGCGTACTCCACGACGTCCGCCACGTCCTCCGCGCTGTATACGTGGTTACTGCTGTACGACCCGAGCTTGCTGTCCATGTGAATAGGTGGGAAATTTCTGTAATTTGTTCTGTTATGTTTCCAGATAACTAATTAGCCTATGAAATGTTAGCATTCTGCAGCATAACGCTTCTCGTCTGCAAGATATTCAGCATCCAGGTAACTACAAACAACCGATATTGAGGCGCAAGAGACTGGGAAGTAGATCCTTCTCTCGTTTCATGCTTCTGCGGCTAGCAATGTTACAGACTCTACCCATTATATTTGTCATACTATTATTATTTGGATATAAATTCACACTGCGTTGGCATTTTTTCAGTTCGCAGCATAAATAGTTGTGCCAAGTTCTAGTCGTTCAGATGAAAATTAGAACTGGCTAAATACTATATTCGGGAACACTGCTTATGCATATAAAGGTCACGCAAATTCATTCCATCAACTAACAACTAATAAGTGCTGATTCACATCTAATAAGAAAACTGACCTGAGGTTAGGGAAGGCGGCGCTCTCGTAGGGGAAGCTCTGGTCGTCCACGAGGTGCCAGTGGAACACGTTCAGCTTGTTCATCGCCATCAGGTCCAGGTTTTCCTTAAGCTTACTCACGGGCAGGAAGTGGCGCGCTGTGTCCAGCATCAGACCTCTGGGGAAAGTCCGTTTGTATTTCGAGAATCAATAAGTTTGCAGAACAAAATGGGGAGATGATTTACTTAACCAGTTACATGGTCTAATATCTAAGAGTAGTTATATTTTACAATTAAAGTAATTTTCAGCATCAGAATAAACTGTCATTTCATATTTGAGTCGGAAAAATATGGTTAATGCTTTATTATTTCCGAATCATTAAGAGTTAAAATGGAAAGTAAGAATATATGATTCAAGATTATGCACTTATTATACACTTCTCCAAGATTTTTCTCATATTTGTTTAAGAGACCTTTAGGGAAAAGAAAGTGTCGCAGTCTTTCCTGCAATGTGATATGGCATAAATTAACAATGCCATCATGTTATCTAAAGGCTATTCGTTTTTTATTTATTGAGTTATTAGTCATGAAGAGTTCATACCTCACCGTAACTTATTTGCATCATCAACATTAATTGTATATTTCTCTGTGCCAATCCACAACCCTAAAGCAATAACAAACTTGACAATTATGCATAAAGGCTTAATTACCAAAGTCATCATCACCACAGAAAACGACACAAGCAGAAGTATCAGCGCGACTACATTTTACCTGAAGGAGAACCTCGGAAAGTCCATTATCTGCGTAGAGTTGAGGACGTAGGCGGATCCACTCGGAAGGAGCAGGTGTGAGAAGGACTCGAGCCCTCGCAAGATCCCCCACACACTGTGCGAGATGATGGTGCCTTCCAATGGGGCGTCGGGACTGTCGATCTAGGAAAAAGAAGCATCGGTTACATGCGATCCTAGTTTGAAAGGCATTGGCGAGTGAGGTAAGTTGGATAGATAGAGACATGCACTTTTTAATAAAAATTAATAATATATTGAAGTTGGTCAGAATATTTGGTAAGCACTGAATGTGGCTAGTATCGCAGTGTGAGATCACTTTAATAAAGATGGGTATTTGGCCAATTCTACGGGTGAAACGAGACCATTAAAGATGGCAATAATAACGAGATTATACCCAGACTAAGACGACTTATAGAAGTCATTATAACTGACATGATAACTGTGTTGCGAAGTACCTTTATCTCGTACTGTTCATCCATGTTCCTGTGGGGGAGCTCTTCACACTGCGCAATAAGATTAACCTTAACATTGTCCAAATATCCGCGAAACAGGCCGTCTTTCCTCCAGGGCTGCGATCGGAGCTGTAAACGAGGTACGATTTACGATGTTAAACTACGTGGTTAGAATTTATTTGAGATTTAACTCTGATAATATGTTTAAAACTACATGCTCCAGGTTAGTGAAAGGTAGCACGAAACATCACTACTATATTTGTAGGCCTATGCCAGTTTTAGGTCTCATATAAGAATAAGGTTTATATAAACCTAACATACGATGACTTACCTCAACGGATGAATAAGAAGCGAACATGATGCCAATATATCTTTTCAAAGCAGCTTTCAGGATATCACAGTCTTGACCAATCGTAGTAAACCTGGGGAATTTATCGTTATATTTTTGTATATATAGATGATAAAATAAGTATTCAAACAATTATTACAGTGATTTAGTGTATGTGATAACTATTGTGATAATAGGAAATGTATTTAAAATTATTTGATAACTAACAATGCTTTTTTGTCTTGAACGCTCGAAATGAGACAAATGTTAGAGGTGAATTTCCTAGAGAGGGAACTAAAAAGTTATGGGAACTACAAAGTCAAGTATAACCATCGTGCATGTAAAGTAGAAATCAAGAATTCTTCACCTGAAAGTCTCAGGTCGGATGACCATGTAAGTGCTTGAGGTCAAACTCATCTGGGGGCGTGGCCACACTTCTCCCTTCGTGGGTAACACACTCGGGAACCCGGCAATTGCACATGCTGTTGCAAATGCGAGCAGGATCAAGCATACTGGGAAAAGAAGAAAAAATATTTCGGTTACAGACCATAAAATTCTGCAACTCTAATATATTCAAATTTTAGGGATGCGACAAACACTGGACGAATTTCTATTTCTTTTGTTTTTGATCTGTCCACTCACTGTTACTATCTAGTTTCTACTTATCATTCTCATCAAAGCCAAACAATGACAAGTAACTAGGCTATTTTCTCGATAAGCGTTGTAAATATGATTATCTTTTGTACATCTGATAAGAGTAACAATATATCTCTACACCCCCTAACGCCTTCAGATAAAGAGAAACAACGAAGCTTGATAATATATAATGGTTTTAACGAAATTAAATTATTTATTTATGAAGTTCATAGCATATATAAAGGTAATGTGTTCGCCGATGAAGCAATGCAGTTTTCTTTGAAGAAATGAGAAAACTTCCAGATTATTGCATCAAAACGCTTGTTTAATTGCATCGACACGTGCAATACAACACGCAAAAATGCGCTTATTTGCGTCACGTGATTTCTGTTTTTATTAATATTCCTTTTAAAGTGTTCAAGGCAATTGGGATTTTATCAGTCGTATATGTTTAATGCAGTGTAACTCTAGACCTAATGACATTTCCTTACATTAGGATCAACACCATAGCCCATACTCTACTGAAATTCATTCATTCTCCTTTAGAAGTAGTACTGGTTACATTCCTCCAATATGTTATTTGTCCTTGAAATGAATGCCACGATAACCATCCAAAGCTTTCTTATAGCCGAGCATCCATTACTTTGGCTCACGAATGGTTCAGATTCCTAAGTAGATACGAGTTTATGTTTGAATGGGGTGGGGTCAAGTTGGCCTACTATAAAGCTATCTCTATTTATCTATATGTCTATCTCTCTGTCTATCCATCCATCCATCTAATAAACAAATCAGTCGAACATATGCTGACCAAATCATCTCTTCCTTCGCAAGTCATATTGGGCTAAGTCAGGTTATATTACATAAGGACATTAAATGTTCTTCATTATTGTACGCACCGACCGATGTGGGAACTTCCCCACCTGCTTGAACTCGGTGCAATCAGCAAAACCCAAATTAGTCGCACTCGGTGATACAGTGAATGAAGTCACACCAACGTTCCTTGGTCTGTTGTTAGGGATACTGCGTGCGTACTTTAAATAGCTCTTGTGCTGCACTACATTTCATGGTATACTGAGTCGTAATGGTGACATTTAATCTTATATTTCTATTATGAGAGAACTGTAGAATAACATACGGGTAAAGATTACAACATACTTTTTTGAATGGTAATAGCAGGGTAATTACTTACAATTACCCTTTCCCGCAAAACTAAAATACCCGAGCGTACTGCATTATTTGACCTTAAAGGCTGTGTTGTTGTTGATGTCAGATCGGGGTATCTCGTTTGTATTCCCTGTGCCGGGACCTTTTTGTGAGGAACGGCAGCTGGCAATACCCAGTTGCAGATGGTGCACATGGAAAGACCGCGTCCAGTTGCATGTGAATCATACCGTGCAAGGAATGTCACATCTGTGGCACACTGGCGTAAGAACACTGGATTAACATTAGGGTTGTTTGGGTTAGTGCCATAAGAAGAGGGACATTTAATCTGTTTATTCATTCCATTTATTCACATTACTCTTTGTTATCGTTATTAACGCCAGGATGGCTATTCACATAACCTCAACAAAACACCTTACTCGAATAATAATAAAAAAATGCGTTTTT